ATATATATATATATATATATATATATATATATATATATATATATATATATATATATATATATATATGTATGTATATATATATATATATATATATATATATATATATATATATATATATATACATATATATACACACACATACATATATATATATATATATATATATATATATATATATATATATATATATATATATATATATATATATATATATATATATATATATATGTGTGTGTGTGTGTGTGTGTGTGTGTGTGTGTGTGTGTGTGTGTGTGTTTGTATATATACACATACATATGTATATATATGCTGATTTGGATTAGTCAATTAACTTAAGTTGCATGTTTTTGGACGGTGGGAGGAAACCGGGGAACCCAGGGGATACCCACATGAGCACAGGGAGAAAATGCAAATTCCACACAGAAACATTTGCTGGTTTGGTAAAGCCTGGAACCAGAGATATTCTTGCTGTGAAGCAACAGTGCTAAGCACTGGGCCACTGTGTCACCCATCTATGAAGGTGGAGGAGTAGGGGTGGAAGGGGGGATTCTTCAAAACGAAGATAGCGGTGGCACGTAACCCAGGGTATTTGTAGTAGCTTAGGATTCATCTGATTGGTACATTGAGAATTGGATAATGCGAATGCAGCTGCTAGCAGTCATAAGCACGTGATCCTCTCAAAATTAGTTTATAAATAAACTTCACTTAGAGAAATGTTTAGAGTTTTTATTTATTTATTATTTTAAATGCAAGTTTTAGTTTAAATGACATCGATATTCAAGCGGAATGTTGTCCACAGTGAGTTACTCAATTTAACCCAGTGGCGCCTGCAGCTGTACGACTCTTTGCACTGCACGTACCTACCATGAGAGGCTGCGAATTAATGCAGCTATTTATTTATTTATTACATAATATTAATTGATTATTAAACAGTATACACTACAATATATCCTCAAAGCAAAAAGGAATGAGAATAAATAAAGCTGTGTGTGTTAAAGTGTGTATGTACTTGCATGATGTGAGGTGAGTAAAGAAATCTATTGGCTTTAGTTTTGCTTGCAGTTTTTCCACACACTAAAACTTACAATTCAGATGTTGTTTAAAACAAAGTTCAAAATGAGTAAACACTTTTTAAAACAGCTGAACTTAATTGAGACATTTGCCAAAAGGCCTAAAGCTAATGAGACAAATATTGATCACCCACACGGGGTGGTGACCGCAGTCTCATCAGCACGTGAGCCGGGGAAACTCTAGGCTCAGCCTGTCTCTTTCTTCAGACAATTCATACAATAAAGCCAAAATACTACATCTGAAGCAGGAAAATCATCACGCATTGTTTAATTTAATTTGTGTTTGCTGATATAAAAATATAGATTACAGAAGAGATTTTCTATTAAGGTAAAAGTTTCCATTCGAAATAAACTTATTAAAACCCCATGAGCAATATAGCGGTTATTACTGTTGATAAACATACCGTATTTGCATAAATCATAGTAACATTGCAGGTTATATTCAGTGCCTGTTTACACAATTGTAATTGGAAATGATTCAGAGAGAGAATTCTGCACTAATATTCATTTATAATCTAATCAAACTGTTAAAGAGTTCTGCTGACTCTATATTACTCTCTTCTAATAAATTTAATCAAAAGTATGGAAGCTCTCTCCCACATCTGTAAGCGTAACAGTCAGACTGTTTATAGCAGAATGATTAATGACATCAAAAATGAAGAACAAAAGAGAGAAAAAAAAAAATCACCTCTCTCCATTTCAGGGCCTTTAGGAGTGAAATTAGATGATGCTATTGGAAATCACATCACGTACAAAGTTAATTCATTTCTAGTCTTTCAAAACAATGATTGTGGACAGGATCAAAAAAACAAAACAAAACTTTTTTAGCATATTTGAGACATGAGAGATCTTTCAAGTAAGAGAGTAATTTCAGTGAGTAAACTCCATTTGTAAGTTGTAAAGCTCAAGCAGACTGTTGTGATGGGGAGTGACACTAACAACAGCAGGTTTGGATCCACATGCAAGTTTATTCACAGTCAGGCAAGCAGTGGTCAATACGGGTGCAAACAGGAGCGTGAGGACAATCCAGAATCACAGTCGAATACAGGCAAGAGGTCAGAAAGGCAATCAGTCTTGATCAGTTAGCATGTGTGAGTGTGACCAGAGAGCATGTATGAATATGTAGTCCAGGAGAAGGCGGAAGTGTAGTCCA